CTTTACAAAACACATTGTTTGCTTTGATTAGAGTGTTCTTCCCTAATCATTTGCAAGATTCATTTCCTTCTACAATCTTTGTTCATAAATTACCTTCTCAGGCCTTCCATGGTCATCCTATTCAGATGTGACCTCTCAGCATTGCTCATCCTCTTCCTGCTTTATTTTTCTCTGCATACTTACTGTCTTTTGCCAGGATTTCACAGATTCAGATATTTGAAGAACTCCAGACTTCACTGAGCATTCTTCATCTAAGGTGTGTTTTTTTTTTTTTTTAAGTTTATTTTGAGAGAGAGAGAGAGTGGGGGAAGGGCAGAGAGAGAGGGACAGAATCCCAAGCAGGGTCAGTGCTGTCAGCGCAGAGCCCCACAAGGGGCTCAAACCCACGAACTGTGAGATCATGACCTGAGCTGAGATCAAGCGTCAAACGCTTACCCCACTGAGCCACCCAGGCACCCCTAAGGTTTTTCTTTAAAGGCAAAGGATCTAGTGCATCAAGAAAAAGTATGGGCAGACATTAGGGACCTGGGAGACCCCAAGCATATATAAGCTCCCCATGTCCTCAAATCCACACAGTGGTCCCTGGATTGAACACCAACATCTGTGCAAAAGGTCCCAGGAGATCTTTTATACCCCTCTGGTCACATAGTCAAGCCACGCTTCAAACCTGGTTGTGCAGGTTGAAAACCATCAGTAAATAAACGGCCCCAGCTAAAGGCTCCCCAGAGAAGAGCCTAGAGTTTTCTGTCTAGTTGTAAATTAACTCAATCCAGTCCACCTTCTAAAATGCAATAGAACTTCTTATTTTGTTTTCATTTATTGGCTACACACACATACGCACACACACTTGCGTACACACACAATTGTACTCCTGGGGGACAGAGTTTGTAGCTATTTTGTTCACTGGTGTATTCTCAGTTCCTGGAGACATCTCAGCTGGACACATAATGGGTGCTCAGTAACTAGATGCCAAATAAATTATTAAATAAATAGAGCTTTTCTCTAATTATGTAACTGTACTATAAGAGCCTTGTTGAGCAACAATTAAAAAAAAATCTCTAGTATCCCTCTTGGTTCCAGGACCATTATCAGCCAGTGGTAAACATTCAGTAGTAAAGTGATCTTTAGAGGCCCACCTACTTCGCATTACCATTTCAGAGAGCCTCCTGAATCTCTTACACCCAAGTGCCTAAGAATGATTTGAGCCATATAATAAATATTTCAAGTCTCTGAAAGAAGAGATTTTTGTTTTTAACTATTTTACTGAAGTATAGCACCCATAGGTATTAAAGGACTTTTTCTTCTGCAGTTTGATAGACTTTTTCAGTGATCTGGAACATTTCAGCAGGAGGTAATACGGTTTTGCTTAGGGCCTATATAGTACAATTCTGAAATTTTAATGTAAATCACTAGAAAAATATGATTTTTTAGTCAGTGTTTTGTGAGACAAAACTGTACTTATATTTCCAAGTTTTTTGTTGTAATAGAAAGCATTTCTTTTTTTTTTTTTTTAACGTTTATTATTTTTGACAGAGAGAGAACAAGCAGGGGAGGGGCAGAGAGAGGGAGACAAAGAATCTGAAGCAGGCTCCAGACTCTGAGCTGTCAGCACAGAGCCCGATATGGGGCTCGAACTCACAGACTGCAAGATCATGACTTTCAGCTGAAGTCAGCCACTTAACTGAGCCACCCAGGCACCCCTAGAAAGCATTTCTTAATTGTAGCACATTTATATTTACATGATAGGAATAAGCAACATGTTTGTGATTTACTCTGTTTTAATACAGGTACGCCGTTTCAGAGAAAGCAGGCAAAAAAACACTAATGAAGAAGATGATGAAGTTCGAGAGGTAATTTCTGCTGTAAATTCTTGTGCTTATATGTCAATTTAAGTTAGAATGACTAGTAGGTTTGTTTATAGAGGAGTCAGTCCACAGGACCGAGGTTTGATTGATAGGACTGAGCAGGGATTGGCCGAGAATAGCTGCCTTTGATTTACACCAGCTCACCCTACCAGTATTCTGCTTGCTGCCATTCCCTTTTTTCCCTTTTGCTCTCCTCTAAAACTGATTTAGTTGTGTGGGAGCAGGGGACATAGGCAACAAGAGCCCTTATTAATCAAAATAATACATAACTGTGATCAGAACATCTTAACCAGTGTAAGATGAAATCTAACCCTACCGAGCTGGTATTATTTTGGGTAAAAAGGAAGAAACATAGGGTCTTGCTAGCAGTATTACCATAGGTAAATACACAGTGTCCTCTGGGCTTTCTAAAATGTTGAAATGGGCTTGATCACCATCAATGCTGTCTTTCTCAATCTGCAGTTTAGAACTTCTGGTTAACGACCATTTACTTAAACTTTGGGCCTCTATGTGGTACTTGGTGAATTCACTATTGAAACATGTTTTTCTGTTTTCCCATTTGTCCCTCGTGTTTTATGGTTGCTATGTAGTATTTAAAGGTTATCTTATAACTGATTTACTATTGGGACTTTGTCTTGATTGCTTTCATCCGTATCTCTTACAACCTCGCCGTCCGTCCTACTGGCATTAGCAATACAGATGTGGAAAGCATGTGGTTCGTGTCCACCAGAGACTCACTTTAGTAGGTGAAGCAGATGTATGTAGAAAGAAAATTGTTAAACATTATCATGACCGGAAGTGTCATCCTCACTGAATTAATACAACTATCCTGCTAGTCCATTGTCATTTTCCTAATCAGAACTGCCCCTGACAGGTGGTGAGTTGGAAGGTGCGGAAGCACTTGACACATCCCTCATATTAACTTTTACAAACTCCACTGTTTTCTCAGGTACAAGCAAAAAGGAATTAATGGAAACCCCACCCCCCCGCCCCCATCACCACCACCCTTTAAATATTTTTTGCCTTGTTTTAAGCACACTCCTTAGGTAAAAGTCAATACCTGGGATACTAAAAAGGAAAAGAACCCTGCCTAAGGAGATGGGGACTCTGGATTTCCTTTTTTTGTCCTCTGAAAAGGAGTCCATTTAGTGGTTGATCTAGTGATGACTACTAGGTAATACGACACAGCCTTTAATGTGAAGCAATTTTAGATCCTGACATAGGAAAGATTAGTTATCAGATAATTCTTCAGTACCATCTCTAAAGGCCGTTAGATAGAATTTTTTCTTTTTTAAATACAGTTTCTAAGTCTGCATCTGATTTACTTCAATATCTGTCATACCATACTGGCTACTTTACATTTTAAGCTGATCCAGTAATGCATCTTACGTGGAATATTAAGGAGTAGGAAAGTAACATTTTTGGTGTTATTGTGGTTTTCTTTCTGTCTTCCTATAAAAGTTTGATGACCTGAACTTATGGTGGGTGGAGTTGCCCCCCCCAAATTGTATCCCAGTTCATTAGAATATGTAGTAATGTGAAGTGTAATAACTCACTTAGTAAACTTTCTTTAGATATGCAAAGATAATCTTCTAAATGCCTAGTTTTGTGAGTTTCACTGGCTTCTTCGCGTTGTAAAAGTTAGCACTATCTCCATCGTGTAATACAGGAGATTTTACAACATAAACTAACGTTACTAGCAGTAGGGCCAATACTGACTACAGGTTTTTCCTACCTCCTGCCTTTCATTAATAGCCTACAGTAATTGATCAGAGAACTAAAAACTACCACCATCCACTAAATTTCACATTCAACACTCCCGATGTCAGAGTCACTTCTACATGAATGTAGGAAAAAACAGAACACATGGCCTACTTTGTTTTATTCATTGCTGCTTTCAAGGAGAAAGGGCAAATGGTATTTGTGAAATTTTTATTTATTGAGTTTTCTCTAGGTGTATCACACTATTTCAGTTTCCATTTCACAAATGAGACTGAGACCACAGTACAGGTTACCTGGTGGGGTGAAATTTTACCTTCAAGTCTAGACTTTTCCACCATACCACGTCCTATCACAACTCTGTATCATCATGACATTAATACAACTCATGGCAAGTGAATGGCTAAAAATATAAAATTTCTGAAAGTTTTTGATGTGCAGCACATGAAAATCACTGTTCCTAAAAAGCACAGGTATAACTGCTTTACCGTTTACAAGATGGTTTTGGGGAGCTAAGAAGAGGAAGCTATAGATTAGGGATCCCTTACCACATTTATGCTTGTATTCATCTACAGAGTTCCGTTCAAGTAGAAAAGAGTTTGCTAAGTAGCAAGAGTGAATGCTACAGGAAAGAAATGACTCCTGATTCTTGGATCATGTAAACTTAACTAACCGTTTCAATTTAACAGATTACGGAAGTATTTCTGGGCACGTCCTTTGTGTTTGGAGCCACTAAATTCAGTTTTTCATTAACCTTTTAAAAAATAAGAGTGAATATTTTATACAAGGAAGGTAATAGTGGACATGACAGATGGCATTTGGGAATTTTTCAAAAGAAAGCACTTTTAAGTTTTGATTTTTCGGCTGTATTTTAAGACATTAGCAGGTAATCGGGGTTTCCTAAGTATTTGTTAGCATTGCCATAGGATGTTATAAATTATCTTCCTTCAGGATACTGCTTAGATTTTGTAATGGAGTTTGAGACTTTCCCAAGCTATAACCTCCAGCCATGGGGGTTAGCTTAAATTATTTAAACAAACAGACAAAAGCATTAGTCCTTCCAAGAGGCTTTAAAGGCTCTTGTGCACATTGGAAAGCTCTCAAGTATTTTCTTTAAATATAAGTTCACAGTTAAATAAAAGGCCAAACAGTGGATATTTGAGGCTTTGCAGGCCATCTATGCTCTTTGCCACATATTCTTCTCTGTGTAGGTGGTGGCTGTTTGTTTTGTTTTGTTTTGTTTTTTCTGATTCCCTCTGCTCCCAACAAATGTTGGGAGGGCTGAGGATGCTTTATTCAAACAACAATGTCAAATAACCCAAACTTCTCACTCTTGAAAAAAAGAAGGGCAACAGCCACAGTTTTAAAATCTGGCCTATTTAAAAATCAATGCCACCTTTGACCTAAGGTGCTTCCTAGCCACAGCAGCATTTTCAGGGGAGGTCAAGAACTATGGTTAAAGTCCAAGAAACAACCCAAAACAAACCCAAGTAAGTGGAGACAATTTTCTGCATCACTACCACCAGCACCTGTTCAGAGTATCAGGTCACTGCCTTTTACAGCAGGTTGGTACAAAATCCGTGCCGTGAAAATCCTCAGCCACCCGGAGGAAAAGGTACAAAAGGAATTATATTAAAACAATGACAGACTTGGAGGAAAAAGAATTAAAATATTTCATCCAAAAGATCCTTTGTTTTGCCCTTGAGCAACCTAAAAAAATGAACTGTGTTTTATATCCCCAAGTAAGAGAGGTATTTCCTGGAAGCGATCAGTGCCCAGCGCTTGCAGCCCAAGTCCATGTATACTCCTGTTCGATCAGTCCCAATCCTGAAGCCACAAAAATTCCTCTGTTAGAGAAAGGGAAAAATCCGTATCAGGACGAAGCTACTGAGGAAGAGAGGAAGGCGGGTCTTCAGTGGGAGAACTGCCTGCTGTCAGATGACTTCCTGCTGATGTGTTTGAAGATTCTGGACTTCTCGACCTTCCTGGCTTTCTGGTAGCCGAATCCACCGCCTCCTCCTCTCTTCTTAAGCTTGCCGTCATTGCTGTTCACGTTCAGATCAACGAAAGGAGGCACCTTGAAACCAAAGGACAGAGCAACCTGAGGCAAATTTAAGTTATTAACGTTAAAGATCTGTTTGAGAGAGTGAGAATCATATGCTCGAATGTAGGACTTATATGCTTCCTGGGCTGACTTATGAAGGAAGTAGTTCTTTTCAATCAACTTTTCAAGCTGAGACTGAATGTCAGAAATTTTGGCCCAGGAAAACTCAAATTCACTTAATGGAACCTTGGATTGCCTCAAGTAACGAAGGAAACCCAATTCTTCAGGACGCAAGATGAGCAAGGCCTGCCCTCTTCCGTTCAGGCCTCTGGCTGTTCTTCCCACACGATGAATATATTCCTTGGGGTCATCTGGAAGGTCATACTGCACAATCCAGTCGACTTCAGGGATATCCAGCCCTCTAGCCGCCACATCTGTACACAACAGTATCCCTGAATCTGCATTGCAGAACTGGAAGAACGTGGTTGTACGCTTATTCTGCTTCTGCCTTCCGTGAATGGCCAAGACAGGCAAATCGATGTAGTTCAGCAACTCGTAGTGGTATTTCACGGACATACAGGATGAAAAGAAGACCATCAGTTTCTTCTTCCGGTTCTTCTTAAGGAATGTAAACAGGAGGAGGAATCTCTTTTCGGAGGGACAAACAACATATCCCTGCTCAAGACCATCCACTGTTGCATTAGCTTTATCATCATCAACACCGACGTACAATGGCTCCTTTTTCAGAGAAATCCTTGCCAAGTCTTCAACTTTTCGAGTTTGTGTGGCGGAAAAGAGCATGGTCTGCCTGCGAGTTGGCAGAAGTTTAATAATTTGTTTTAATTCCTCTTCAAATCCAACATCCAAGATACGATCAGCCTCATCAATAACCAGACACTGGAGATTTTTATACATAAACCCTGGGGTGTTCTGCATATGGTCCAGGAGACGGCCTGGTGTGGCCACAATGATGTTGATCCCATTACCAAGTTTCTGTGCTTCAGCGGATCTGTTGCTGCCACCCATTATCAATCCGTATGTGTGAACGTGGTGCGTCATCAGCTCCTTGAGGACGCCAAAAGTCTGCATGGCTAGTTCCCTAGTAGGTGAGAGAATAAGAACGCCTGTTCCATTCCTAGGCATGAACTTTAACTTAACAATGAGTTCAACTGCAGGAATGAGAAATGCCAGAGTTTTACCACTGCCTGTTTTTGCAGCTGCTAGAAGATCCCTGCCTTCCAGAAGTGGTCGGATACTTTTATGCTGAATTTCAGTCATGTTTGTAAAACCCATTTCTTTTATTGCCCTCAGAGTGTTCTCACTGACAAGATCAGTAAGAGAAGCAAATGAAGTGTCCTCAAAAGCTCCTGTCAGTCCCAGGGGTAGGCTGGGCACCTCAGCGTCTTCTTCCTGATCATCCGGCTTCTCCACGTGGTTTTCTGTCTCTTCAGGCGCTTGTAAATCTTCCTCAGACTCCCCCTTGTCTTCGGGTTTTGCTTTTTGGTATCAGGCCCAGCATCACCCACTATCTTCCTCTTTTTCTTCTTTTTCTTTTTTGATTCTGAATTGGGAGGCTGTGTGGCTGCTTCTCCATTGATTATTACGGTAGATTTCTTTCTTTTTTTTTTTTTTTTTAATTTGCATGTTTTCCACTGTTTCTTTAGCCATCTCTCCATTCCGGGCTTCTGACAAGTCCACATTCACAGACCGTTTTAGAGATTTTTTAACCTTCCCACTTCCCACTGTTTCCTCAGACAGTTTCTGATAGGCTCCATTCTGCGTTTCTGAGAGGCTCACATCTGAGGCCACCTGGAGCTTTAAGTTTCGCTGGCGCAATTTGAGGTTCCGTTTATCGATCTTCTTGCGCAGGAGTTTCATGGGTAGATGCGACATGTTGTCGGCGAAGCGACTCCTCTGCAGCGCCACAGCTCGGCTACCGGCTGTGTTTTTTTTTAACAATCCTTTAAAAATGTAAAATCTATTCTTAGTCTAACATGTAGTCCATAGTTTTCCCAGCCTCTAGTTTCCTGTGCTTTACCTGAATCGGAGGCAGAGTTGATCCCCTTCTAAACTATAGTGCCAAGCACTGTCAACAAAGTGAAGAGGCGCCCCATACGAGGAGAGAAGTTATCTGCACATAATGTGTTTGGTAAATGATTAATATCCATAACATGTAAAGAACTCCTAAAACTTGATCACAACAACAAAACGCAACTTAAAAAGTGGATGAAGGACTTAGATATTTCTCCAAAGAAGATAAACGGGTGACCAATAAGCACAAGAAACGTTGCTCAACATCACTAATCATTAGGGAAATGTAAGTCAAAACCACAAAGAGATCTCACTTCACATCTATTAAGATGACCATTAAAAAAAAGAACAGAACTAGAAAATAGTGTTGCAAAGAATATGGAAAAATTGCAACCTTGTGCATTGCTGGTGGGAATATAAAATCTTCTGTGGAGAATAGTATGATAATTCCTCAAAAAATTTAAAATAGAGTAACGTGATCTAGCAGTTGCATTTCTAGGTATTTACTCCCAAGAACTGAAAGCAAGGACTCAGGTATTTGTACACCCATGCTCATAGCATTATTCACAATAATCAAAAGGTAGTAACAGTTGATGGACAAATAAAATGTGGTATGTATGTACAGCAGACTATTCATTTAACCTTAAAAGGAGTGAAATTGTGGGGCACCTGGATGGGTCAGTTGGTTAAGCATCCAACTCTTAATTTCAGCTCAGGTCATGGTCTCATTGTTCATGAGTTCAAGTCCCATGTCTCTGCACAGACAGTGCAGGGCCTACTTGGAATTCTGTCTCTCTGTCTCTCTCTCTCGCTCTCTCTCAGAGTAAATAAAAATAAAATTTTTTAAAAAAGGAGTGAAGTTCTGATACTACAACATGGATGAAACTCAAAAATATCTTGAGTGAAGTAAGACGTAAAAGGATGATTGCTTGTATAATTCCACTTACGTGAGATACCTAGAGTAGTCAAATTCATACAGACAAAAAGTAGAATAGTGATAACTAGGGGATGGGGTAGGGAATGGGGAGTTACTTTTGTATATTTTGCCACAATTTTTTTTTTAAAAGGTGTAATACCAGGATAGGATGTTTTCGAAACTCATCAAAAAAGCACCTGAAAACATTGTCGTACTAGTGGATCTGCACTTAACAATGGTTCTGGGCCTACACTCATGAGGTAAATTAGAATTCCCCAACTAATTCTTAGAAGTAATGTACTTCAAATATATTTGTAAATTCCAAAGTCTGTTGCACAGAAAAGTAGAGTTAAACTATTTTAATGTAATGTTTGAGATGATAAAATGAAGGTCTAGTATTTAGACAAAGGCAAAGTACAAAATTTGGAAATGGATGGTGGGTAATTTGTTCCAAGGAATAATCATAAAAGAGCATATGCATTTTAGATTTTTGCTGGATACCTCTCCATCACTTCAGAGATGTCACCCCAGTTTACATTCTGACCAGTATTTGGGAGTGTTTATTTCCCCACATCTTTGTCATCATGATGTATTACTACATCTTTTGGGTTTTTTTTTTTTTTTCAATTTTTTAAAAATATTTTTGAGAGAGAGAGAGTGTGTGAGCAGGGGAGGGGCAGAGAGAGAGGGAGACACAGAATCTGAAGCAGGTTCCAAACTCTGAGCTGTCAGCACAGGGCCCCACACGGGGCTTGAACTCATGAACCGTGAGATCATGACCTGAGCCGAAGTCCGTCATTTAACCTACTGAGCACCCAGGTGCCCCACTACACCTTTTGATCTTTACAAATCTGAAGGGTGAGAAATTGTCTCTTGCTGTTGTTTTTAATCCGTACTGCCTTTGTTACCAGTGACTTTGAGTGGTTTTGTGTTTATAAATTATTTATATGAGACACCTGGTCATGTTCTTGGCCCCAAAATTTTTGTTTTGTTTTTGTGCCAAGGGCGTTGGTCTCTCTCACATGAAAGTGTGCACACACTCTTTGTGTGGTGAGGGGATAGCATATTTAGGGTATTTGTCATGCAAAAGAAGGGTTTTGGAGTTTGTTCAAATCCAGAATGGGTGATGAATTAAGTGCCTTTTGACCCATGTATAGATAAACATGTGGGGCTTTTCCTCCTTTGTTCTATTTATTGATTTGATAAGTTATATTAAAACATATCCTATTATTGCCCCATCCTTGTTATCACTTTATGAGCCCCCTGATAATGGGTATACCTGATACGGTTTTTCCATATGATCCTGGATTCTCTTTGTTCACTTTAATATTCATAAGTCAGATCCTGTAATTTTCTTTTGTGCATGCAGTCCTTTGTCACTTCTTCAGTACCAATGTTATGCTGCTTTACAAAAATAAATTGGAAGCTTTCTTTATGCTCTGGTACTATGGGAATAGCAGTGGAACGGTCTGTTCTTTGAAGATTGGATAGACTTTACCTGTGAAACTTTCTGGCTGTGGTCCTTTTCAGAGGTGTTGTTCCTTTAATAGTTTTCTCAGATTTTTCTTTGATGTTAGTCTGTTGAGACTGTGTACCTGTTCTTGGATCCATTTAGGTCATTTATTTTTCCAATTACTTAGGATTGAAGAGTATTTGTCAGGATTCTTGAATTTTCTGTCGGTCTTTTTTCCCTCCACTTTCATTTCTAATGGTGTGTATTTGTCTTTTCTTCCTTTTTGTTAAATTAGTGATTTTTATCAATATGGTTTTGCCCCAGAGGACCAGTTTTTAAATTTGCTAATTTGAATGATTTTTGCTTAAAATGTGTTTATGATTGTACCATCGATTTTTTTATACAAACAAATTAAAATATATATATTTTTAATTTTTTAATATTTATTTATTTTTGAGAGAGTGAGACAGAGCGTGAGCAGGGGAGGGCTAGAGAGAGGGAGACACAGAATAAGAAGCAGGCTCCAGGCTCTGAGCTGTCAGCACAGACAGCTCAAACCACAAACCACAAACTTAGGGCTCAAACCAAAAACTGTGAGAACCTGACCTGAGCCGAAGTCAGACAGACAGCCAACTGGCTGAGCCACGCAGGCGCCTTCCCCCTGCAAATTTTTTTAACGATCATTTATTTTGAGAGAGAGGGACAGAAAGAGACAGAGCACAAGTGGAGGGGTAGGGGAGAGAGACAGGGAGACACAGAATCCAAAGCAGGCTCTGAGCTGTCAGGACAGAGCCCGTCATGGGGCTTGAAGTCACTAGCCCTGAGATCATGACCTGAGCTGAAATGGGGCACTCAACCAACTGAGCCATCCAGGCCGCCCCTCATTATTGATTTCTAATAGTTTCCTGTGGATGGGTTTTATTTGTCTAAACTTTTTGAATGCCAGATCTCCTTATTTGCATTTATTCTTTTTTATAGGTTGTAGGCTTTCTTTGCAAACACAGCTTTATTTGTTTCATATGTTTTGTATGTAGTATTTTTATTATTTTCTAGATTTCTACAATTTTAGTTTTGAGGTTTTGAGGCAAGTGTTTTTGTCTTTTTTGTAAGTAATTCCTAATTGTATTCATGGTGATTAGGCAATATAATAATACTGTTAATTATTTAGAACTTACTGATATTTTTCTTAACACCCTATGATATATTAGCTAAACATTTCAGGAGGTCTTGCAAAGAAGTATATTACTTATTTTCAGAGTATAGAGTTCAACATGTATCAATTAGATCTGTCTTATTAATTATGTAATTTAGATCTCCTTTTTCCTTTAAAAAAAAGTACAAGTTCTATGTTCTATGTCACCACAAATACTAAATTAGCAAATACTGAACCATATTGCTGCTAGGAGAAAATACAGGATTAGGTTCCTGCCAACTACTGGTTCCACTTTTGTCAGCTGATCAGTACATAACCTTTTTATGTGTGTTTCTGTTTAAAGACATCTTAATTAATGTATATATTGTAATTCACTAACACTGAACTTAGAACCAGCGGCCCCATAACTCATACCTGAATGCAGCTTATCTAACGACATGTATGTCATCTGTAAGGCACGCCGCAGCCTGCTTGCACTTGGGAGCACTAGACAGCACTTGAGCAGTACACCGAATCACCAACCAAAAGCACAAAAGTGTGGGAAAACATGGCACTAAATATGCCACCAAAAGGACACCCGTTTAAAGTGTGAGAGCAGAAACAAGCAGGCAGGGTGTCCCGTTGTTCATCTTCATTGGGGAACGTGTGCGTCAGGAGACTCAGCATTTTTGCCACTCTGCGCAGGTCCACAGATGACTGCAGAAGTGTCAGGAGGATCGTTCTGGGGGTTGCAAATACAGAATCCGGGAATAAGGAGGATTCGCCATACTTCATCTATGACAAGAAAAATGAGTTGGAATCTTTTTCTATTATTTTTTCTTTATATTTTTTGTTGTGTTCCCTGAAGGTTTTTTTTTGTTTTATTTTGTTTTTTACATAGTATTCAGTGTCGAGTCCTTCATGTAGTGAATTAGCTGTTATCTGCCTTAAGCTAAGATCATCCAACATCATCCTGAAGGTGGATGATCTCCCACAGCCCACTTTACTCCTGCTTCTGCCCTACCTGCTTTGTTCTCATCTCCTCATTTAGCCCCCTCTCCGCTTACTTTATGGTATCATAGAGCACTTAGAAATGTTCTAGCCACCTGTTCTTAGACTGAGAATTTTCTATTCCAAGCAAGAGAGACTACAGTCATGGTCCCTTGAGACGTATAGATCCATTTTAGAGAGCTCTATGTTCCCTGACACTCTTCTCAGCCTTGTTCCTCAAACAGGTCAGATCTTTGTTATATCTGTTAACTCTTCTTCAGAGAGTTTGTGTTTTGAAGTTGGAGCTATTTCTTATTTCATTGAAAGTGTATTGTGTCTTGTTTCTGTTCTCCTTGTTACCTTTCGATTGGGTTAAGGGAAGAGCTCAGGACAGCATTGCTTTTATTTTACC